CCCCCAGGTTTGATTGTGTTTATGGGGTGCAGTCTAGCATGTTTTAATGCTTCGTAAAAAAAAAAATAATACTTTTTTTCCCCCACATAATTTACCTTAATTCTACACCGCTCTGTCCCTTCTCCTTTGAACACTCTGATGATTTCGTTTTTATGAAGCCCCTCCCTCAGAAATATGCAATGGCCTCAGATTGGTTAGCTAGTCCAGTGTGTTGTAATTGGCTAAACCGCCTCTAGTGCAGGTTTAAACATCACACCCATCACCTAAGCGGCATGTGCTCAGGTTGTATTGTAAACAATGGTGCCGTCAATATTGCTTATCAGTTTGAGCCCAATTGAGACCCAGAGGATATTAGTGAAGAGGATCGCGCAGAACCTGTGCAAGCACACGGCTCTTAATGGTATGTTTTTTTGTTTGTTGTTGTCTCATACTTTTAGATATGCTTTTATTCGTAAATGCTACTGCTTATGTTAGCTTTTAATATACAGTTTTATCCTGATTAAAATTTTAATACAGCATGGCAACCGCATGTTTAATGCTTCTTATAGCTATGTGAAAAATGTCTGTCTGTCTATTCTAGACACGTATATAAGAACAGTTTATTGGAGCTGATGATCAGGTGAGAGAGAGTTGCAGAGCAGGGGGATGCGAGGAACAGGATTAGAACATTGATTTTGAAACTTGTGAATCCATTAGAATCGTTAGAAGACAGAATCGCAATTCATGTATGAATAGATTTTTTCGTGCACCCCTTGTTTTGACGGCATGGCAACTACACTTCCTCTTCTCTAAAGCAGCGCAACATGGCCTGCCCCCTTTGTTGTGTGTTCCCAGGGGTAGGGTTTATCAGGGTTTGTGACGTCACAAACCCGGGAAGTAACTTGTTGTAGTCCCTACGATTCGTTTTTGTAGGCATTAAACTGCCATAATTATAAAAGATGATATCTCCGTTTGCATTGAACTTTCAGCGTCGTAACTTTGCAGATATCTTTTATGCTCAAACAGCAACATTACACACTAACTAACATTAAAAGAAGTGAAATCTCAATCAGCCACCCCTTTAAAATATTATTCTGTTCAGATTCATTACCAGAGAATGGCTTGATCTACCACAAAATCTATTAAAAGTAGATTTAAAAAGACAAGAAATTTACTCACTTATCACTTGGGACTTATCGAAAGAGTCAATCCCATTTGTGGAAAGAAAGTAAGATAAATCTTCACATGAAAGTTATGTTCCTGCTGGACGAATCAGACAGTTACATTACTCTCTGCAGCTCAGACTAATTAAGGGTACTTGATTAATGATATGCCTTATTACAGTAATATGAAAACGATAAGAAATCAATTATCCAGTCTTCTAAGGATCGCCCTTTCCATTTAAGGTGTCAAGATGCTAATTAACAATACCACAGACTTTATAGGTGTTTGTGTGTGCATGCATTTTTTAAAAACACTCTACCGTGACAATTACTTATCTTTCCACACGGGTTTGGAATCAATTGATGTGCTTGGTTTGCAACATGGGGGGAAATGAATGAATCAGTAAGCTGTGGAAGCCTGAATAATTTTTTCATGTGTTGTATCAAACTGATACTATTTTGTTACAGTCCTAAACTTGATTTAGCAGGATTAAATCTAACACTCATGAGGAATTTATTAATCTCTGCAGACAGTGTTTAAAGCTTCTGTGCAATGTGACAAATCAGTCTTATCAGGATTCCAGCCATAACAGTAATGAAAGGCTGTTGTGCACTGACAGAATATTGTAACATACATTATGTAATAAAAAATATAGAACTCTCATTTCTCTGGAACCTCTTCTGTGCAGTTTCATTATGAAAGTGATTTTCTTTTTCAATTCTTGCTTGTGCCTGCAACCGTTCCACATTAAAAAAATTCAGTACTTAGCATCTGACATATCAATGTTACATCTAAAATGACATTACATCTATAAAATGATGTATGTCCTCATAGACATATAAAGAAGAATGAGGTTGGTTGGCACAATTTTCATTCTTTGGTTGTTTTTGTGAGTGTTAAACATTCCTACAATTTGTTAATTTGTAACTAAGTTTATGCTGTGAACAAAAAGAAAATATAAAAACAATTTAATTTGGTTATATATATCCCATTTGTGGAAAGAAAGTAAAATACATCTTCACATGAAAGTTATGTTCCTGCAGGACGAATCAGACAGTTATGGTTTAATGGCTATAATACTGGTTTTACCACTATTTTAATCAGTTAGTCAGAATCAACAAATGAAAAACACAAACTCTAATTTCGTTTTTACAAAATCTGTATTTTTATTTACCCACTACTGCACATATTCACTTTTTACTTCTTGTGTAACATGTGCTCATGTATAAATAAATCTACTGATGTGTTTAAATCAAAGGAATGGATGGCTTAATGGCAAGCCTGTGATGTAAAAAGAAAGCGAAGCCCCAGGCATAAAAACCTTATTTACCTGCACTTTTTTTGCAGGATCGATAAGCCATTAAAGGTTTCCTACAAACTTAATAAAACATCCACTGAACTACACAGCCCTCTATATGTATCTCACTGCAGCACTGTGTATTTATTGTCATGCCTCTAAGCTCACAAAGCACTAATTTCAACTCCGTGAAATGGATGATGGGATAGATTCATCATCAAAGTCTTAAGAGTGAAACAATTTGCTTGTGGGTCTATTCATGCTTTGTACTGCATTGGCCAAGCGGTGACCTTAGACTGGATTTGGGTCCTAACACCTCTTGACAGTAAATGCAGAATGGAGTCTCATTCTTCCTTCAGCCTTAAGTGTGCTTGAGCAAATACAAACACACCGAATCATGTCAAGTGGCGTCTTCATTCTCTACAAATTGTGACTCCATTAATGTAAAAAAAATAATAAAAAGACCAAGATGACTTTCATGACAAAAATGTAACTGCAACAGAAAGCAGAAAAAACAAACACACACATTTTTATGTGCTCTTAATATACATAATGTATGACCTTTTCTATTTTTATTTTTTAAAATAGGTACATGTGTAAACAAAAGGAAATCTCTCTCTCTACTAAAATATGAAGACAATGGTGTGGTGGTAGCTAACCTTTGTACCTCAAGCACTTCTGAGATTTTGAACCAAAAAGTTATGCAAGTTAATGTTTATTTCTAAATAAAAGCCTTTTAAATTGTGGCATCTACGGTGGTCGAGAGAGCTCAACGCGCTGCAAATAGAAAAATAAAAACAAAACCTGCAAATTAAGAAAACATGCACTGCAAATGCTCACAACACAACCAAATAAAGAAATGCGCTGCAAATAACATTATTTATTTAGGTGTGTTGTGAGCATTTGCAGCACCTGCTGTCAAACTGATGAAGATGTTTTCTTGATTTACTGGTGCTTTTTCTATTTACAAGTGTTTTCTGAAGTTTGCAGCGAGTTGAGCACTCTCGGCCACCGTAGGTATCACTGTTTAATGCTAGTTTTCTCTTACCCAGCCATTACACATCATGCTGTTGAGTTACACCACCAACTTGCAGCTTCATGCAGCTCTGAATCTAGATTTCCTTCTTAGTGCTTCAGAAATATGTAATTTGTCACATTTTTACCATAGTATAAAAACAGTTCTGTTTTCTCTTCCATATGAAAAACACCATTGTCTTGTTTGTTGAAATTTATGTTAACTATGAATGACCTAGCCTAGCAGTTTCTAATGATGCCAGTTGAGAGGAATCGGTCTGAATGTGAGCTCATGTCTTTTCTTTGAGTGGAATGATTATTGGCAATTGTTTCATTCTGAATAGAGCTACGTGTCACTTCTGCAGTAGTGTTGTTATTATTAAGTTGGCTTATTATTATTATTTTTCTGAGACTATCTATCTATCTATCTATCTATCTATCTATCTATCTATCTATCTATCTATCTATCTATCTATCTATCTATCTATCTATCTATCTATGACATGTGTTGCCTTCAAAACATTCCACCTTTAAGCTTTTAAAACGTCTTAAACTTTTAAAAACTTTTTGGTCAGGCTTTGTCAAGCCAACTTAAAGTTATTATCATTACTGTTGTTGTTGTTATTTTTTCAAATAGTATTTCAAAACCATATATTTCCTATACCTTGAGTAGACGTATTTGCTGTAGAATAATTGATAACTTTTTGTGTTTTTCGTTTATTCGTATATTTATACTAAACTTCATACTATACTATACTAAATTACTTTTATTTTCAGTGACACGGACGTTGGTCCGTCACGTGTGTTTTTCTGGAACACAGAAGTTGTCAGTAAGCAAAGAAGTTGTCTGTAAGTTCCTCTGCTGTTTGTCATTTTTGTTAACAGGCTCTGACATTTTCCCACTGACTAGCTGTGAAGTATTAAGGGCGCTTAAACTTGAACTGCATCACTTTTTTTTTATGTTTACAGTCATTCATAAGACTTACTGCTGCACTAAATTACCTTTACACTTGTCACGTGACAGGATTGTGGTGCATAATGAAACATAACTAAATTAACGTTGCATAACGCATGATCTGTCTATGTGCTCCGGGATTAATCGAACACTCCTGAATGTTCATCACCAACAATTACCATCAAAACATTCTCAGGTCATCATTTGTTTGCTGCAAACGAGAAACTCCCTGACTCTAGTGCATGCAGGTTGTGTTAAACTTGGACATAACATGACCTTTCGAACCGTTTAGTATGACTATAAAATGGTAAATGTATGGTCTTTTAAAGCATTTAATTTAGTCAAACTAATGAGCCATGCGATTTTATGCTTTTTTTCTACACGTTTAGGTTCTTATTGAAGAAAATGGGCCGGTTGGTTGGGAACGTGATAGTCCTTTCTGCAGCAGCACAAGGCATTGGAAAAGCTTCTGCTATAGTAACCATTCATTTTACAGCCATTTCAAAGATTTCACGTCCTCCTTACAACTCTATAAGTTTGCTGCATTTTGCTGTGGTTTATTGACAGCCCTGCATGCCACTTTGATGAGTATAATAAATGGATTTACTTGGAGGGTTTACAATTGCTATGTGTTTTCTTTTTGGATTAAAGCTTGCCATGCAAGGGCTGTCAACATGACATTTTGAGGCTGTCAAGTGTAGATGCAGACTGCTTTGACATAGTAACACAAAGAAGAATGCTGAAACCAGCTTGAGGATAGAATGTTTCTAGAATTTGTGACCTATTTCCTAGTTTTACAAGCATTTTTAATATGAATCTGCTATAATTAATCATTAAGGGGTGTCTCAGATCATTTAGGCAAATTCTCTATGAGTCAACAGCACGTTATCAGCAGAGCGCTGAAGGTGGTTAAGATGCACACCTGCTAGGTGAATACATTTCCATATCAAGTGAATATTCAAATGAGTATTAAATGAGAGAAACTGCAGATTGAGGAAACACTGTAGCCCTGAGCCATTTGGCAGATCACATGGAGGGGACGCGTGCCATTTCACGATTGTCATCAAATGAAATCTCACCAGTGGAATGTTATTGAAAGTCTAGATATGGCAAGATTTTATATCAGCCCAGCCTGCTGTGTGCGCTAACCCTGCTCGATCTGAGCTATAAGATATCTGCTATCAGGAGAAATGGATTTGATGAAACTGATTTGATGGAAATTTTGCATCCCCTGCATAATTGCATGTCTATGCTATCGTGAAAAGTTTGAATTAGATTCAGATGTTGAGAAAGATCATGTTAATAACGCATTTTGTTGTTTACCGACTTTAACGGTAGTGTCTTCTTAATTGTAACAGGCTTTTGCCAAGAAAGGTGCCCAAGTCACTGCTACAGATATCAATGGAGAGAAACTTAAAGAGCTGGATGGCATTGACTGGCTATGTATTGCCACCTAGTGGGAATATGTGAAACAAAAATTCGTCTAAACATAAACAAGATCCTTATCTGTAATTTCCCAGCTATTCATTCAATTTTTGTAATCTTAATCTTAAAATATCAACTCTGATTTTTGGAAACTGATTTGAAATTTTGTACAGAGTTTTGACTCTAGGTTAGTAATGCAAATTTGCTCAATTTTGAGTGATTCAACAATTATATATAATTTACTAATTTAGTATGATTTACAACATATGCTGTAAAATCTTACTGAAGGGAACTCAAGATACTTTTCTGATGACATTAAATGATGAAATCTGAACGTCTGTCAAAATGTTATACATCACTATGCAAAAGCTAGCTTGTACAGCTAGCCTTCAAAACTTTGGGGTTGGTTCGTTTGTTTTAAGATGTATTATTTTCCTGTGATGGCAAAGCTGAATTTTCAGCAGTCATTACTGCTGTCTTCAGTGTCACATGATCCTTTAGAAATCATTCTAATTTGCTGATTTAGTCCTCAAAAATATTTCTTAATATTATCAATGTTGAAAATAGTTGTGCTGCTTAATATTTTTTGTGGAAACCATGATAAATTTCCTGTCAGGATCCTTTCATGGATAGAAGGGTCAAAAGAACATTTATTTGAAATAGAAATCGTTTGTAACCTTATAAATGTCTTTACTGCCACTGTTGAATTATGTTGATTTTTATATAATTTGATTGTTTTTACCTGAACTGCCTAAAAAACTGTCAAATCCTAACTTAAGTGATGGACATCTAGTACATATGTGTGATTTTTAATTACATAGCATGTCTATGTAAGACTTTCCCCAATCAGAGATTCCAAAGGCTAGTCCACACCCTTTCATGCTGCTCTGCTTTGCAACATAATCCCATTATGTTGGAAACAAATTGCTTTAGTTCAAGGGTGCTTCTCTTCTCAGGCTTCTGTATGCTCTTCTGATTCCTGGAATGTTCTTTTATTCCCTTGCTTTTTTTAGGGATCAAAACCAAAGTTGTTGATGTTATCAAGAAAGACAAGGTAAAGTCCATGGCCAAGGACTTTGACTATATGGATGTGCTCTTCAATGTTGCTGTGTTTGAATTTCTCATTAAAAGCAGTGAATGTACTGTATATCTTTAGCTAACTTTTTAATATTTGTATGGAGTTTCTATTTGTAGTCTATCCTGGCTAGAATGTACCACCTTCTAGAAATCAGGAATGATGCAATAGCATGACTATATTTCATTTTGAAGGGCTTCTTTGATGTGCATACAGTTTCTCTTTTTTTTCTTTGACACAGATTTGTCCATCATGGCTCAATACTGGAGTGTGAGGAATCGGATTGGGACTTCACTATGAACGTGAATGTCCGTAGCATGTACCTGATGATCAAGGCCTTCCTGCCTAAGGTCATCTTGTCCTTCTCTCTAGGATTATCCCAGAACACCTCATGCTACCTCTTCTTTTTCTCCCCCATTATCCCTGGAAAAGACCTTCGTATTTAAAGATTATGTTTTCATCCCCATCTCGTTTGTTCTTTGGGTTAAGAGTACAAAACAGATCTGTACTATGCGGTTTAATACGTAATCCCTGTGACTGCACTGCTAAAAATGGCTTATCTTACTTAGTATTTTTGTCTTGTTTCTAGTCAAAATATCTAAAAACTCTGAAATCAAGATACTTTTACTAGATAAGCCAATTGACTTAAGATATTTAGTCTTGTTTCCAGGGGAAAAAAAACTAAATTAAGTGCATTTTGCTTAAAACAAAATTATCTGCCAGTGGGGTAAGTAAAATATTCTTAAAACAAGAGTATTTTACTTACCCCACTGGCCCCAAAATGCACTTAATTTAGTTTTTCCCCCTAGAAACTAGAAACAAGACAAAAATACTAAGTAAGATAAGCCATTTTTTGCAGTGTGCATAAATGTGCTCAAACTGCACCCAAGACATTTTTGAGTTTATGAATTATAAATGTCAAATTAGTAAAATTTTTATACATCACTATGAGAACACTAGCTCTTATACTAATGTTCAAAAGTTTGGGCTGCTACTTGCTAAGTGTATTACAATTTAATATGACTGTATTGAATGCATTAATATGAATGCATTTTAAATTTGTTATTTATTCCTGTGATGGCAAAGCTAACTATTTATTTGTTGATTTAATGCTCAAGTAACATTTCAATTACTATTATCAATGTTGAAAACATGATGACAAAAAGAACATTTATTTTAAATATATATTTTTTGTAACATTATAAATGTCTTTACTGTCACTGATGATCAATTTAATGCACTCTTGATGAAAAAACTTATTCATTTCTTAAAAAAAAAAAATACAGACATTTTGATGGGTGGTGTACATTTGATAAAAGCTACACGATTTACAAGATACATGATTTGAAGTATATTACTTTAACCAGTCAGCCAATTTAAACAGATTTTTACCCTTATCAATCTCCATATAGATGCTGCCTCGTAAATCTGATAATATCATCAATATGGCATCTGTGGCATCTAGTATCAAAGGTAATACTTATATTCTGTTGCAACCTATTTCCATTTTGATGCTGAATTATAAATGGGCTGCTGTAATACATCATGCTGTATATCAAGATTTGGCCCTTTGCTCTTAATTACATGTAATGATTGACATTGTTCCATGTAGCTCTTGGCATATTATCTTACCCCGTTATCTCCAGTTTGGCTGATGCTGAAATTGGATAAATGCCAGGTCAAGTGAAGTTTGCCCTCTCCTAATTGCTCATCCTTAATTGCATGTCCAGGAGTTGTGAACAGATGTGTCTACAGCATGACTAAAGCTGGACTGACCAAATCAGTGGCAGCTGATTTCCTGGAACAGGGGATCCGCTGCAATTGTATCAGCCCTGGTATGCTGCTTTACTGATTGGTTTCCGATATAAACTTAAGTCCCTGTATCATACAAAAATGTCACTGTACCTAGTGATTTTATGAGTCATTTTGCTTCTTTTGACCTTTACACGAACTATAGATACGCCTTCATTACGACAGAGAATTCAGGACAGGCCTGATCCAGAGCAGGTACTGCTTCCATTGCAAAGAAGCAAGAAGCTGTTTGCGTAATGTTTGATTGTCTTTTTCCAAATGCAAAAGTCTTTTAGAGCTCTCAGGGAAGATAATTTACAACCAACTGAAGCACGTGAACACATGAAACATGCCAGCAACTCCTTGTCAACTAACTTTTGATGATGATACACTTGGGCAATTCTAGAGACAAGCTCTGGCTTCTCTGAGTGAAAGTTAATGAGGCTTAAAGTTTATATTTTACAACAACATTGTAGTCATACAGCAGAAGCAAAACTGTTAACCTGTTAGGCTTTTAAAGACTTTATGGCCAGACAGAAGATTGTGCACTGCAGAGAAAGTGGCACATCCGTGTGTGTACTTGGCCTCAGATGAGGTGAGTCTTTGTCCATGAGTTATATATATCATTTAAGACACAGCATGTGGTACTGAAAAGTGGTGTTGCCATTTTAACAGTTCACTTGGATTAAAAATATAGCTGGCTATTTAAAAATAATCAACAGATTTTTTATTCCTACAGTCTGCCTATGTAACAGGAACAGAAGCCATCATTGATGGAGGATGGAGACTCTGAGGATGATTTGTTAGTGTTACGCAGGGAACACAGGAAACATGCAGATCCATCTGCAAGGCTTTATTAACAGAGACGTGGTCAAAAACAGGCATAGGTCAGAAAATGGCAAACAGGTATATTGATGGCAAGGCAAGAGGGATAATCCAGGTACAAGGCAAAGGTCCAGGCAGGGGCAAACAGTATCCAATTGGGCGAGACTCAAGGGATAATCCAGGTACACAGGCAGTGATCAGAACATGGGGAAACAGACAAGACACTACGCTCGGTAATGCAGCTATCGCTAGATGAGTGATAAACACAGAACAATACACGGCGATCTGAACAGGAACTGAGAGAGTGTAAAATAGAGTGTGTAATGGCTCTCAGGTGAGCGTGTAATTAGTGACGGCTGTGTGATCAGTGAATTCAGCTGTGTAAGTGCAATGGATGATGGGAACTGTAGTCCGGAGTGACATGTAACAGTCTGTGTAGTATGAGAGTGAGAGTCAATGTAATGGTAGAATGACCTCTAGTGGCAATCGGCCTGAAGGTCACGGACCGGATTCGTGACAGTTAAATTGACTAAATAACCTTTAACATGCATGCAACTTGATTTCCAGAGAAACAGTCACTGATTTTCTTTATCTTGAAAACCTTAATGCTGCTATGGTGCAGTTGTTGTACTGAATCTGAATCGTTCTGGCCATTAAAAAATTGTGGATAAAATATGCCAAATGTAATCCACATTTTTGGCCATTTATTGTCTTCTATTAGACAAATGTCCAACTCATAAATAAAGGTTGAGAATAGTAATCAGTGTTTTTGACACTGAAACCTAGAATTAAAACTATTAGTAATTATAAAAAAAAAGCTTTGAAACTCTTGGTGTTTATTTTATTAATTCCCTGGCTTTAGCTTGACTATACGTGCCGTTTATATGTTAAAACATAAACCATATTAAGCATAAAACATTGTGGATGTCGCATGATTATGGGATCATGATAAACACAGAAGTCTCTTGCCGACGTCTTGTGATTGGTCAGTTACTGTTAGCTCTAGCCAATCACTCTACAGGAGGTGGGACTTGTCAGAAAAGGGGTTGGGAAAATAGCACCGCTTGGACCTGATTAGACCATTTTATCATCAGGGTTGGACGTTTAGAAAACCACCTTCCAGCTGTCACTCACACTTCCGGATGCATCTACCGGGTAAAAGATTAACCTTTAAACGCTATCCGCGCATCTGGGATCAAGCGCGTATATTTTTACTGTTATTTGTTTTTATATGTGTAGACTTTAGCACATGTCGGTCAATACCTTGCAGATGGTCAAACTTACAGATACTTCACTGCCATCTGATTTGATGGCAGTAAGGTTCGAAGCCACGATTGTTTATTTCATGTCAGGTGATTGATTTATCATAACAAAAATGATAATCATCACAGAGAAAAGACAATTTCTTTATTACGCAAAACAGCAGGATTGTAATGGTCATAAAACAAGGAAGGAAATTAATCTTATAGACGATAGTTGAAGATGCTATAAATAAGAATACCTGGACTAAGAACACTGTGATGTCAGTAATGCTACTCAGTGAGTGGTTTACTACGGTCTTACAAACAGAGACCATATGCCATGCGCTCTTCAGTCTGATAAAGCACCATATGGCCCAGGCGTCGCGTTTAGTCCTGTCTCAATCCGATTAACCTGTCGAATAAACCAGTCGGTTTCTTTTCTAGTACTCGTGTTATTTACTCTTTGAAGGTAATTGTATAACAGCTACTCAGGCTTAATCGATAGGCAGATGCTGTAATCGCGATTTATATTTACACAGATGAGTGTTGATAAACAGGAGCCGGTCATGAACACGTGCAATGGCTAGAAAACTCGAGCGAGGATAGAGCAAAAGTACAGTGCCATGGAGGATGCCCAGTCCAGACCCCATTCAGTCCACTCCACATACTCGCAGACAACCGAGGATGCAGCCTCCGCCTTGGGAAATCATGCTGAAGTAGGTTATTAGTCAGAATTCCTCACTTTATGCTGTTTCTGTCTGTATTATTTCAATATTGATTCTATAAAATGGGACAGTTGCCTTTATTGATGTTACAGTATGTAGATAAAATGATCTCAATCCTTAATGGACTATTAAAACGTTCAACACTTTATAATAACCTTAGTTTTTTCAATTAACAAACATTTTAATGCTTTATAGAGCAATAGTTCATGTACTTTCTAATATGTATAAGAAAATACACTGAGAGAACTGAGACTAGGGTCAATTTTGCTTCTAATTTTGCATTCTTTTTTTTACATTTAATACAAATAATTTTTCTTTTAAACTTCACTCAAACTTTCTGCTGTGCAATCAATCATAATACTGTATAGACTGGTACTAGTCAATCAAAGCCATTTATGCATATACAGGTGCATCTCAATAAATTAGAATGTCGTGGGAAAAGTTCATTTATTTCAGTAATTCAACTCAAATTGTGAAACTTGTGTATTAAATAAATTCAATGCACACAGACTGAAGTAGTTTAAGTCTTTGGTTCTTTTAATTGTGATGATTTTGGCTCACATTTAACAAAAACCCACCAATTCACTATCTCAACAAATTAGAATATGGTGACATGCCAATCAGCTAATCAACTCAAAACACCTGCAAAGGTTTCCTGAGCCTTCAAAATGGTCTCTCAGTTGTGTTCACTAGGCTACACAATCATGGGGAAGACTGCTGATCAGACAGTTGTCCAGAAGACAATCATTGACACCCTTCACAAGGAGCCACAAAGTACTATGTATTATATGCTGCACTGGATAAAAACATCTGCAAATGTATATTTTGCTACTAAGATCATTGCTTGTTTCTTCATTCTCTAACAGCATCACCTTACTGTCAGTCAGACAGTGCTGGTGGTTCCGAAGCGCTCAGAGAGCCCCAATCCGAGTATGACCGAAGAGACGACTTATGCCCCTCGACTGGTGTCTTCAGTTGATGCTTGTACTAACACAGACCCTCCATACGAATGCTGCCCATGGCTGCGCAGACTGTGCCCGTGTCCACCCAGAGGCCTGCTGGCTACCATTATCACCAAAGGTTAGAAAAGGGTCAATGATCACGTGTATAGCATTTCAAACATGCAGTTGATCAACTGTAATGTAATGTGTCCTCAGTTCTGGGTATAGCAGCCCTGTTCATCGCACTCACGGTACGCCTGATTGTCACTTTTGTTGTGGTACTGCGAGCCGGCTTTAACCTGAAAGAGAAAGTCTTCATCGCTCTAGCCTGGATTCCTAAAGCCACAGTACAGGTATACTTGCCAAGTCTAACAAATAAACCCTCTGTTTTACTGTGCCTTTATCTTTTACTCAGTCCTTTTTAGGCAAGTGTGAGCTAAATGACAATAAATGAAATGCACATGAGATCCCTATGAATGCTGTGTGATTGTTTTCAGGCTGCCATTGGCTCTACAGCTCTGGACATGGCGCGCTCCAAGAATGACCTTGAGCTGCAGAGGTATGGTATGGACGTCCTCACTGTGGCTGTGCTGTCCATCCTCATCACCGCTCCTATTGGAGCACTCCTCATCAGCCTGCTCGGACCTCGACTCCTGCAGAAACCAAAGAACCCTGAGTGGGGTGAGATATTTGTACACACACACACCCATATGTGACCCGTTAATGATTAGAACATATTAACCACACCTAGAGCTAGCGGTTCTAGTAAATATTTTTATCCAAGATTGTCTAGCTAAGAGACATAGTGGAATAAGTACCATGTCAATTTCATAAGATGGTTAGAATATAAAATATTAAGAACACAAATTGTCATTAAATAATTATTTAATTACATGTCATCTTTCTGCTAGATGATCCCTGCTAGTCCCTATGATATAAACGGGTTTGTGTCATAGCTAATGTGTTATTTTGTATATATTTATGTATAAAATATATGCATTATGAATGAAGTATTTAAATATAAAAATGTAATACTATTATTAAATATATAATATATTATTATAATTTAATATTCAAATATTATTATAGCACTGGATTAATGGCTGTTGAAAATTCAGTTTTGCCATCGTGGAAATAAATTACATTTTACTAAATATGTTCAAAAAGATGCAAACATACTAAATAAAAAAAAACTGTTATTTTAAATTGTCATTATTTTACAAAATAACAGTTTTTACTGTATTTTTTAATCAAACAAATGCAGACTGGGTAAGCATAAGATATGACTTTCAAAAATGTGGAAAAAAACTTAAGAATCTTCATATATATACACATGTATCTACAGTATGTATTACAGCATTGGGTCATTAGCTTAACAACATGAACTTTAGTTGCTCTTCACATGAGAAGTGCTATTTTTGTGGAAATGCTTGAAAGTGTTCAGTTGCTATACAAAAAAATATTTCATTATCAGTCACGATGGTTCATGATGGTTAGGATGCTACTTTTTGTAGAAAGTAAACAGAGTTTGGGTCAGATCTAAACTGAATAGTTGTGCAAATAATACTGAAGTAGGTTTCTGCAGTTGTCTTGCCATCAAAAATATATAGATAGCAACTCATCTATTTTGATAAACATGCGACTTGAGATGCACATGGAAATTCACCACAGCTTGGTGAATTTGCATGCTGGCAGGTCACCGTTTGTCCTGTTTCACTCTGTGTTTGCTTTATTGTTTGTACAGTGCTGGCTATTGCACTTTGCTAATGTGTTAAAAAACATAAAATGCTCCAGCTTCTATAACCGAGACCAGTAGATTCAGTTTTCTTCAAATTCATAAACGTTCTGTGTGAAAATATGAAATTAACCCCACTTATATCTAGCCTACTGTACATATTTTTATTTACTCTGTATGTAAATAGTATAAATAGATGTAAAAAGCAACTGAAATCTCTCTAACAATTGCTTGGTACTAACATTCTTCATCGTGTTAAATGAATGTTTGCTTTGTCATTTTCTGAATTGTAGCTGTCAGTCAAGGTGCTTTATCTGCATCGGGGACCCCGGTGACGTATGAGAGTGCCTTGTGATGTTTCTGGAATGCTTCTGGGAAGTGACAACCCGACGTCCAAGGCTGCTGATGATCCTTTTTGTCTTCAAAGTGGATTCTCAAACTCATTATTACTGCGACCCTCTGAAGTCAGACTGCAAAAGTGGCAGACTCGCTTTTCAGATGAAGGAACCCAACTCTTAATTTTTTTTTACCTTCCAAGGTGGATGAAAACTCTCAAATCACTCGCAATATTCCTTTTACAGGTGGGATTTTGAAGGATCGAACACTATAGGGATCATTGTTAGCACTATCAAGTACAACAACTGGCTTATGTTTGTGTTGATAGTATTTGTTACATTAGATCTATTACAGATGAGTCTGCAGTGACTGCATATCAGTGTTACAGAAAGTTGTGTAGTGGTCAGTGCTGTCATGACTATGTTCGGAATGGAATACTAGCTTACAATTTACTGAGCACTGTGCAGTATATACTGTATACAGCCTTCTGTAGTTTTATATTTATATTCACAGCTTGTCTATAATATAATTAGTGCTGTCAAACGATTAATCGTGATTAATCGCATCCAAAATAAAAGTTTTTGTTTACATAATATATGTACAGGTATGTGTACCGTGTATATTTATTATGTAAATACATAAATACACACATACAGTATATATTTTGAAAATATAATCGTTTGACAGCACTAAATATAATATAATACAATGTTTAAGTCCTCCATATGTGACCCGTGCTGGCAAAATGAGTCGCAATGCGCACGGCCTAGTTTTGAGCTACAGACAAAAAATGTGAAAAATTTAGATTTTGGTCGAATTTCAGATTTTCAAAAAATGAGTTCCTTAAGCCTAATATAATATGTCTAGCAATCCCAATGCTCCAAATAGTAATTAAACATCTAAAATAATCTTTATTTGTACGTTTTCTGAGAGGAGTACCCTTTTCTCTGCTCACTTCTTGCGCTACTGCTGACTGATATACTGTATGAATCGCACACATAAGGCGCTTCCATACATACACATACTGTATACACAGAATATTTTAAGTAGGCTCCATTTTGGAGAGTATCACATACGTAAACAGCATATGCTGTTCTGTGTCAGCTGTGCCACGCGGATACGTTGTTTTCGTGTGGTGCAGCTGACACAGAACAGCGTACATTGTTTGCGTTCAGTCTCCAAAATGGCGCTAGGGAGACGCGGAGGAGACGAATTGTTGAATAAAGTAGTTATTTTTATTTTATTCGCGTACAAAAAGTAATCTCGTAGCTTCGTAAAATTGCGGTTGAACCCCTGATGTCAAATAGATTATTTTACCGATCTCCTTGCTATGTTTCTGAATGTTGATCGTGTTAATTACATTGCTGTCTGTGGGAGGGACAGAGAGCTGTCAGAATTCATCAAAAATATCTTAATTTGTGTTCCGAAGATGAACGGAGGTCTTATGGGTTTGGAACTACATGAAGGTGAGTAATTAATGACCGAATTTTCATTTTTGGGTGAACTAACCCTTTAAGAAAGGAAGTGGAGGAAACAATGCAACGTTGATAGGTGATTTTGCTTTGGAACCTTCAGAAAACTTGAACTTGATTTTTTTCAGAAGTTACTTTGCTGCCTTCGTCGACTTCCATTTTTCGTCTGATTCCAACAAATCATATATCATTTTGAAGGTATTTTAATGGAGAATGTGAAAATAAAAATACCTTGTTTTTGAAAATTTGCTCGTTGTGACTCATTTTGCCAGCACAGGTCACATATAGAGTGAGCAACATTTGCCACCTAGGCAACATTTTTAGGAATCATTGGCACAAATTTTGCTTAGACAAATTATTTTGGTCAGGAAACTTAATTTTGTTTAAAAAAAAAAGTTTATTTGATTGATTTTAAACAATTGAAATCAAATAATGATTAGAACATATTAACCACACCTAGAGCTAGCGGTTCTAGTAAATATTTTTATCCAAGATTGTCTAGCTAAGAGACATAGTGGAATAAGTACCATGTCAATTTCATAAGATGGTTAGAATATAAAATATTAAGAACACAAATTGTCATTAAATAATTATTTAATTACATGTCATCTTTCTGCTAGATGATCCCTGCGTATGTGTACCGTGTATATTTATTATGTAAATACATAAATACACACATACAGTATATATTTTGAAAATATAATCGTTTGACAGCACTAAATATAATATAATACAATGTTTAAGTCCTCAAAGCCTTTAGAGAAACCACAGATGTCAATTTTATTATGATTCAAGTATAATGTGTAAATTAAAAAATATTAAGCTTACACTGTAAGTGGCATGAACTAAAAAGACAATTACATCATTAATTGCAAATAGTTACTCTGAAGCTGCAGGAAAATGACAACACTGATTGGCTGACGCATCAAAAGTCTTCACAACTGACTATCCTGAGCTGTGACATAAAACGGCTTAAGTAATTTCATGCTTTTATTAGCCCTGAACCAAAGAATTGGACACAAAGAAATGTTCAGTTATACATGCCTATTTCTTTCGCCATTGTCAATAGCTGACGATGGTTATTTTAAGTCATTTTTGAACATTATATATATATATATATATATAACCAAAAAAAAGAACATTCTGATCAAATAACAAAGCTAGAAAAATAGGTATTTATCCATTAAGTTGAGTACATTGCAGGATAGATTATTTCATGCAAGAGTTACATTTTGGTAAATGTAGTCTTTACGTAGTGTTTATCAAAGTATTTTAGGCATACTATATACTGCAGCAATAGTAAGAATAGTGAATGGTATGGTAATAACTGTCTGAACACAGTCATGGATCAGTGTTTGATGATTGATCAGAGTTTTTGCAGGTTTTTGTCAGCTCTGTTATGCATAGTCAAATACTGCTGTAAAAATTCTGTGGTCACTTCAGAGCTCAGTTACATTTTGTGTTTACAGTGGAAGTAATTTTAGAACGTAAAGGATTTTTTTTTATTAGTAGTAATAGAATGACAAATGGTATATTTGCCACAGCATTGCGCAGTTCGTGTTACTCTCCATGAACTATATTTATATGAATATTTTTTTTCTCCATGATTGTTTTGATAAAATGTGTATTTTAATGTTATACAGAGTCTTGTGAAAGGGCATTGTCGATATAACTTATTTTGTGAATGCTGTTAGTGTGTTGTGTTTACTGCTTCAAATTGACAAGGTTTTGTGTTGTGGTTTTATGGTTATGGTTATGCTACATGCAGTCACTGCTAATTTAAGCAATTAAATGACTACATTTAAGACCTTATTCTTATATTGTCATCTTTATATAATAACTGTATTTCTGTGGTGTGTGTGTAGTTTATTTGTAGATGTATTGCTGCAGAAAATTAATGACATTTGCCTTTTCAGTAAATGACAGGCAAACCTCCCCCCCATTCATATTTGAAAGCATATCTTGTTATATCATCTAAGGCAAATCAGATGTAAACAAGCAGCACTGTTACTTTCTGAGAAGACTTTTCAAGCGTTGGTGTGGTAGAGTTACACCATTGTGTGTTTTAGGAAAAGTACACAAAAGAAACAAACTTAAAAATAAGTAGACTGTTGGCATGGCAACACATATCCATCACTCACACTTATTTGATTATTAACACAACAGATAAGCAAAAACAGCATTTAGAGGGATGTAAAAGAAGTATGTTTATTTTTACAAAAGTCATTAGGCACATTCCAGTTAACATACACTTAAGTAATTTTATGAAAACACCTATGAACAGGAGCCATCTGATATGAAACATGGCACAAAAAAAGAACCAAGGGATTGTCAAATTATTCTGAATAGGAATGAATGCATACATATGCATTGCAATTGTTACAGCATGTTGGTTCAGGTGGAAGTGAAAAGAGGCCCCATTTATTTGTTACATTATGATAAATATTGTAATATTTGAATAGTGTAACAATAGCTTTGACGAAACCATTTGTTACAATCTAATGCAATGTGAAACACACGTCAAGTTTAGTATCCTGCACTTGAAAACTTTCAAATAATTTAGCAAACATTGTAGAACTCTTCTAATTCTGCAGAAAATGACAAATAAGTAAAAACTACATGAACAAATCCTGTACTTCACACTGAAAAGCTAAAAGTATTTGATTTTTTATATTGTCTCAGAAAATGTCAAACACAATTTTTATCACAATGACAGCACAACAGTAATAGTACAAGGCAACTTAACGTTAAAACTGAATCTAGATACAGTTTAAAGAACAGAAAAGACACTTTCATGGTCAAGACGACTGATTGGTGAAAAATGTTTCACTATGGTCAAGTTATATTGCACAAACAATCTACTACATTTACTAAGTATAAAAAGTAAATACACCAGAGCAATGTAACACAAAGGTATATACTTAATCTGTCAGATCAACCACAATATCTTGAGCATTAAAGTCAGAATTGACAGCTATATGCGTCTCTATACCACAACAACAAGTTGGAAATAGATTTGGGTAAGTACAACAAACTAAATTACAGTAGGTTTTTCGATGGAGAAAACGCAATATGGGCCAAAGCAGGAGGGCTACAGAGTCTTCTTCTTAAGAATAAGTGGACCAACGTTGTCTCCTGTCAGCTCGTTATGCTTTATGTGTGATTTATCACAAACGGGAAACTGCAAGATAAGAAAGAACAAATTAAATGCTGATAGTGACAGTGGTTCTTAGGCACCCTGAGGCTTTTGACAAAAATGACACACAAAGAGGAAGTGAAAAATCACACATATATACAGTATATATGTATTTTTTTTCTCCACACACATATGCATGTTAAGTTTCACTACAGTTTTTTTCTTAAACGGGACATATCATATATTTTTTATTAATTTCAGAATACCTTTTCCCTCTTTGGTCCAATTATAATGTTATTCATAATTTTTTTGGTGTGCCAACAAGTCCATTTCCTCTACTGTTTGATTGCTTGTATCATCGCAAAATGTCAAATATATTATCGCCCTAATTCATTAAGATATTATAAACATTAACATCATGATTTTCTGTTCTGTTCTTTCTTTTTTTCTGCTCTGAACTGCTCTATTGTGAAAAGCGCTCTACTAAATTTGACTTGACTTTGGTGCTGTTATTGTATATGTTCATAGTACATTGATCTACTTTACAGTTTCTCATGATACTACCCATTTAAATCAGATACACTGTGTGTGTTTTTTTCTATTTTTCTCAGGCATGGAACCTCCTACCGTTTTAGATCGCCAGCAGCGGCAGTAGCAAACATTTGGAGTCCTCAGGTCCTCTATGTCGATCTCGTTCACCACTTTAGGGTTTTCTTTTTGGATCTTCAGATTTATTAGACTGTCTCTTTGCTTTTTCTTCTTGGGCAGGAAGGGCCGGATGGTCAGATAACCCAACAGAGCCAAAATGCCCAATAACGGTAGGAGCCGCAGCCACTCTGAAACTGAGACACAATCAAGAGTTACAACTCATCATAGAGTTTGCTGTATTCTTAATTATCACACTGACAACAGAATCTACTTAGTGAGGGCTCTTCTGCTTACTGTGGAAAAAATAAGCGTGGTAAGTGACAGATCAAATAATATTCAATGATTAACACACTTATCATATTTATACACATGTGCATTAGTGAAAATTAACCTGTCATGAACTGTTGAATTACACAATGACCGTTGCTTATTTTAGTTGTTTGTAAAGGCTGCTTTAACATATTTAACGTTACAGATACAAAGAGTTGTGCATTTATTGTGCCACCTTTTATAATACTATAATAAAGCAAAGCATGCTGTCAGATGCTCTGCATATGTTGTCCTTCACATTTCTAAAACAGACACTCACTGTTGTGGATATTTTGTATACGAAAGTAGAATCACTTGTGCAAGGAGACACTACATATTGAGTATCTTCTCAAGAATGTGCATGGAAGGTGGCATTTTTCCAACCAGTTTATATAAGTTATGACTTATTTGAGCGTTTAACAGACGGAAAACAGAGACACTTAACATCACTCTTTCTGTGCAGGCATGCGCGCTTAACTTAACTTTCCTCCTACGCTTGTGACATTTTGCGTGATAAAACGCATACCTGTGAGTCTCGCAAAGCCGCCGATTGTGTCTGGAAGGGGTAGTTTCTTGAGGTAGGCTGGAAGTTGCATTTTGATAATCCTGGAGATACTTTCTAACACCATCTTGAATGACTTTGTGCGCTTCTAATTGAGAGACAGCAGGATATTTCCTGGGACATTGTACGTCGTCGCGTTAGTTCACTTGCGTAGTCGTTTCCGTTTGCTCGTTGAAGAGGCGCTACTCGAGGCTGGAAGAATCTTCGTAGCTGTGACCGTGAATAAGCGTAAGCACACGGCGCGCAGTAAAAGAGTCAACCAATCAGCATCTGCAGAGTTGGTTGCGCCCGATTGGCTGCTTTCACCGCGCCACTTGCTTTTGGTTTTGTTGGCTCTTCATTATGTCTATGCTTTACCCTATGCTCTTTACTTTACTCTCGTACAGAAAAAGAGTCTGGACACTAACAAACTAATACTTCATAAATAATCGAGTTAGAGACACCCTGTTAAGAAATGTGAATTTAATTATGATTTGAATTATTTGATTTAATTTGAATTTTGTAATTCTTGCAAACTGTTTGGTGTTGCAAAAGGAACTTTTTCGTGTGAATATGCACGATTGTTTTGACAGATTTCTCGAACTTTTCAAGAATCGTTGGTTTTATTATTATTATTATTATTTTAAACAAATATCACGATGTAATTAGATTTTTTTTGTACATGATAATATTGCTTGTGATATTATTTTATCATACATCTCTTTATTTACTACGAAAGTATCATATTCATGTGAGAAAATGGACTAAAACCAAGCCATATTTTATTCCGTTTATATGAGATTAAATAATATGGATCTGCTTTTAAATAATAATAATAATAATAATAAATCTGTCTTGTTATTTCCTTTCATTTTTCCCTGTCTGTCTTGCAAAATTTAAAAGAAGAAGAAAAAAAAATAATCAAAATATGGATACATGGATACAGTGTACAGTGTCACTTTCTGTGGTGTAATAATGGTGCAAAGATTAATATTATTAATAATAATAATTTACTGCTGATTATATATAATCAGATTAATTATTATGTTATATTACATTACATTATTAGTCAAGGCAGTCATGAAAGAACAACATTCTCCAGCATTCCTTGCGCTTTTGCGCAAATAATGTCCGTTTTCATGGATTAATTTAAAACACCGAGCTAAATTTATTTCTAAAGTCACATTTAATTATATGGTGTGTTGTACATGTTATTTACGCCCTATAAAGGCGTTTCTTTCTCTTCAGGCATCTAGCAGGACTACTATGTGCGCTGTCGTTTAGGTCCATGTCTGTCCGGTGTCATTGGTGAATGACCGAAGATGTCTCATAGCAGGTTGTTTACCCGGTTGCTCTGTAAGTAAAACTGGCACGAGTGTTGTTACATTTGAAACTCATCGCTGTCTTTGTTTTGACATTACTGCATCCGCTATTCTACACGTTGGAGTCGTTTATCTCGTTATTTTCAGTGAACAGACACAGTGAGCTAATGCTAATTCTGTTGTGTTGGTGTTATCAGCACCAAGTGTAACATATTTAACAGTGAACTTCTGAAACGTGACCTTTACTGGTAAATATGCTTAATTTCAAACTCATCGCGAGGTTAACTTATTGCAATGTATTTAATAGAGCAATGTTAGTGAACTTGAAATGTTGCAGACTGACAGCAGTATCATTTAATGTAACCAAGTGCTTATTTATGTGTTGGAAAGGAAAGAGTCTGTGTCTTGGCTACAGTTATTTGACTTTGCTTAAGCTTAATAGCTTAAGTTGACAGGTAGTACATGATGACTAGTGTGACAAGCTGTGTGATTAGATGGGCCATCCATTTCTCTAGGTTAAAGTTCACTTTAAACCACTCATAGACAACCAGTTGCTTATCTACTCAATAACAGCCATTTTGCGTGAATTTCTATAGATGTGAAATAAATGCAACAATACATAGCATTACACTATAATTTCATTTAGCATACTGTTGGTTCTGAAAAAGTATAGTATGCAGTGTATCACAGTTAGAGAGAAGTTAGTCAGCACTACTTTCTGTGAGTGAAAATTCGCTTATTGGCATTGCACAAGACTGGAAGAGTTCAGAGAACCAAAAGTTTTAAAAGTAGCAATACTCTTTCGCAGATTACAGTAAAATGCTCTGACCATTTAGATTTTCTACTATATTACTTTTACAAGAGAAATGCATATATATATGTTATGCACTGATGACAGTGAAGTACAAGCAACGTCTCTCTCACTGCGATACACTGCATACTATACTTTTTCAGAACCAACAGTATGCTAAATGAAATTATAGTGTTATGCTACCTATGTATTGTTGCATTTATTTTACATCTGTAGAAATTCACGCAAAATGGCTGTTATTGAGTAGATAAGCAACTGGTTGTCTATGAGTGGTTTAAAGTGAACTTTAACCTAGAGAAATGGATGGACCATCTAATCCTGTCAGTTGTGATCAGTAGCCTGTTTCTTGAAGTCATGTTCTTTTCTGTTGCATCATTCAGGAGATAAAACTCTTTGCTGTTCACTTAGCCTATAAACTTATTGAAATGTATAGTTCAGCATGGTGCTTTGTAACTAGTGTTGTCGGTTTGACCCCGTCTTATTTCCAAATAGGGCTGCATGATTAATCGAAATTAAATCGCAAAGGCGATAAATTGCGATTAGAAGCTGCGATTGTCATGCATATTGCTGAATAAACTGAAGATTTAACTAGTGGTCGACCGATATTGGTTTTTTGACAGCCGATGCCGATATCTTGGAAAGCAGGGTGGCCGATGGGCGAAATTTAATTTGAATTCATATTTAAGAAATTTGAAATCATTTGAAAATTGATTAAATAATAAACATGTAAAATAAACATACTTATACTCTAGAAGACAAAGTATTTTTCACAAATAAATAAATATTTAATAAAAATATAATTAAAAAGGAAGTAAACACTGTAACCAACAGGGCACTCAGTATTCTGGGAAGTTTGTGTGCATTGGGAATCATAGTTTTTTCAAATAAAGCCAAGATAACACTCATTTTACATACAGCACACAGTGAAAATGACATGAATATAACAGCCCTATTTCCAAACTATTTGAGGTCAAGGCAGCATGACCTTTGGACATCAGATCCTGTAGGTAACTTACAGAGTAATGTGAATGAAACGTCTTAGGCCTAGACCAAGTTTACTAATGTAGCTGCCAAGTTGACTTTAAAACCTGCCGGTTTATTTGGAAGTTTCCTGATTTAATTTAGTTGTAACCCTACAGGTCAAACATTTGCATTTAGTGTGGCAGATGAATAAATAACCTGCAGGCAGGTGTGTTGGACCCAGAAAATATTATGAAGATATTTATAGAAATGGCAACATTTGGTCATGCAGACCTCACTAAGAAATGTATATATATATATATAAAAAAAAAAGGTTTATTAGGTGTATTTACTGAATCTTGCTTCTCATTCCACTGCTGTTGTGTTTGTATTTGCAGTGCAGCAGGCCGGGGTGAGACACTGTTATACTGGCAACAGGAAGAACCTTTACATCAACAAGAACACTAAGGTCATCTGTCAAGGCTTCACAGGAAAACAGGTGAGTAGCCACAGTCTGTGTTCCCCACAGCACCCTGCATTTCAGCCCAAATATCTGAAAAGGCTCTCCTATACTTTTATTACTCACTAATTGGAATGCAGTCTACTTGGTTGTGGCCTGTCTGAGTGAGAGTAACTGGCTGAGCAACAGCAGTAAATCTCACTGTATTTTAAACTTGATTATCTGCTCACCATAATTGAACATAAGATGTTAGTGATGCACTGAAATCAACAGTTTTGGAGGGCAAAAATTATTGACCAAAACTGTGACATTTAATTTGTGCTTCTCTGATAGAGTGTGAATAAACTGCAACTTGTAAACATGTCAGCTGTGTGAATGCCAGTGCTGGATTAACAATATTGATTTCTTGTTTTTAACCAATCTTCATTTTGATGAACCAGTGCTGTTTTTAGTTAATGCATGAACAAACCTTCACTAAACACTATTTGTTGCACACTTGCCATCCAATAATCACAATAAGCTTTGTGCTTTATTATATGTTTTACACTGTGAAACAAAGTCTGAGCTTTCAAATTCTGTCAATTTGATAAAATTCAAACAACAAATTTCATTATGATACTCTAGTTTTTAAAACTGTGGGACTCAAAATAAGTTTAGCTGGTAATCTACATATTACCACAGATGCTGTTGATAAAGCCAAAGTTTTATTTGACCCAAGAGAAAATGGACTAAAACCAAGCCATATTTTATTCCGTTTATATGAGATTAAATAATATGGATCTGCTTTTAAATAATAATAATAATAATAATAAATCTGTCTTGTTATTTCCTTTAATTTTTCCCTGTCTGTCTTGCAAAATTTAAAAGAAGAAGAAAAAAAAATAATCAAAATATGGATACATGGATACAGTGTACAGTGTCACTTTCTGTGGTGTAATAATGGTGCAAAGATTAATATTATTATTAATAATAATTTACTGCTGATTATATATAATCAGATTAATTATTATGTTATATTACATTACATTATTAGTCAAGGCAGTCATGAAAGAACAACATTCTCCAGCATTCCTTGCGCTTTTGCGCAAATAATGTCCGTTTTCATGGATTAATTTAAAACACCGAGCTAAATTTATTTCTAAAGTCACATTTAATTATATGGTGTGTTGTACATGTTATTTACGCCCTATAAAGGCGTTTCTTTCTCTTCAGGCATCTAGCAGGACTACTATGTGCGCTGTCGTTTAGGTCCATGTCTGTCCGGTGTCATTGGTGAATGACCGAAGATGTCTCATAGCAGGTTGTTTACCCGGTTGCTCTGTAAGTAAAACTGGCACGAGTGTTGTTACATTTGAAACTCATCGCTGTCTTTGTTTTGACATTACTGCATCCGCTATTCTACACGTTGGAGTCGTTTATCTCGTTATTTTCAGTGAACAGACACAGTGAGCTAATGCTAATTCTGTTGTGTTGGTGTTATCAGCACCAAGTGTAACATATTTAACAGTGAACTTCTGAAACGTGACCTTTACTGGTAAATATGCTTAATTTCAAACTCATCGCGAGGTTAACTTATTGCAATGTATTTAATAGAGCAATGTTAGTGAACTTGAAATGTTGCAGACTGACAGCAGTATCATTTAATGTAACCAAGTGCTTATTTATGTGTTGGAAAGGAAAGAGTCTGTGTCTTGGCTACAGTTATTTGACTTTGCTTAAGCTTAATAGCTTAAGTTGACAGGTAGTACATGATGACTAGTGTGACAAGCTGTGTGATTAGATGGGCCATCCATTTCTCTAGGTTAAAGTTCACTTTAAACCACTCATAGACAACCAGTTGCTTATCTACTCAATAACAGCCATTTTGCGTGAATTTCTATAGATGTGAAATAAATGCAACAATACATAGCATTACACTATAATTTCATTTAGCATACTGTTGGTTCTGAAAAAGTATAGTATGCAGTGTATCACAGTTAGAGAGAAGTTAGTCAGCACTACTTTCTGTGAGTGAAAATTCGCTTATTGGCATTGCACAAGACTGGAAGAGTTCAGAGAACCAAAAGTTTTAAAAGTAGCAATACTCTTTCGCAGATTACAGTAAAATGCTCTGACCATTTAGATTTTCTACTATATTACTTTTACAAGAGAAATGCATATATATATGTTATGCACTGATGACAGTGAAGTACAAGCAACGTCTCTCTCACTGCAATACACTGCATACTATACTTTTTCAGAACCAACTGTATGCTAAATGAAATTATAGTGTTATGCTACCTATGTATTGTTGAATTTATTTCACATCTGTAGAAATTCACGCAAAATGGCTGTTATTGAGTAGATAAGCAACTGGTTGTCTATGAGTGGTTTAAAGTGAACTTTAACCTAGAGAAATGGATGGACCATCTAATCCTGTCAGTTGTGATCAGTAGCCTGTTTCTTGAAGTCATGTTCTTTTCTGTTGCATCATTCAGGAGATAAAACTCTTTGCTGTTCACTTAGCCTATAAACTTATTGAAATTTATAGTTCAGCATGGTGCTTTGTAACTAGTGTTGTCGGTTTGACCCCGTCTTATTTCCAAATAGGGCTGCATGATTAATCGAAATTAAATCGCAAAGGCGATAAATTGCGATTAGAAGCTGCGATTGTCATGCATATTGCTGAATAAACTGAAGATTTAACTAGTGGTCGACCGATATTGTTTTTTTGACAGCCGATGCCGATATCTTGGAAAGCAGGGTGGCCGATGGGCGAAATTTAATTTGAATTCATATTTAAGAAATTTGAAATCATTTGAAAATTGATTAAATAATAAACATGTAAAATAAACATACTTATACTCTAGAAGACAAAGTATTTTTCACAAATAAATAAATATTTAATACAAATATAATTAAAAAGGAAGTAAACACTGTAACCAACAGGGCACTCAGTATTCTGGGAAGTTTGTGTGCATTGGGAATCATAGTTTTTTCAAATAAAGCCAAGATAACACTCATTTTACATACAGCACACAGTGAAAATGACATGAATATAACAGCCCTATTTCCAAACTATTTGAGGTCAAGGCAGCATGACCTTTGGACATCAGATCCTGTAGGGAACTTACAGAGTAATGTGAATGAAACGTCTTAGGCCTAGACCAAGTTTACTAATGTAGCTGCCAAGTTGACTTTAAAACCTGCCGGTTTATTTGGAAGTTTCCTGATTTAATTTAGTTGTAACCCTACAGGTCAAACATTTGCATTTAGTGTGGCAGATGAATAAATAACCTGCAGGCAGGTGTGTTGGACCCAGAAAATATTATGAAGATATTTATAGAAATGGCAACATTTGGTCATGCAGACCTCACTAAGAAATGTATATATATATATATAAAAAAAAAAGGTTTATTAGGTGTATTTACTGAATCTTGCTTCTCATTCCACTGCTGTTGTGTTTGTATTTGCAGTGCAGCAGGCCGGGGTGAGACACTGTTATACTGGCAACAGGAAGAACCTTTACATCAACAAGAACACTAAGGTCATCTGTCAAGGCTTCACAGGAAAACAGGTGAGTAGCCACAGTCTGTGTTCCCCACAGCACCCTGCATTTCAGCCCAAATATCTGAAAAGGCTCTCCTATACTTTTATTACTCACTAATTGGAATGCAGTCTACTTGGTTGTGGCCTGTCTGAGTGAGAGTAACTGGCTGAGCAACAGCAGTAAATCTCACTGTATTTTAAACTTGATTATCTGCTCACCATAATTGAACATAAGATGTTAGTGATGCACTGAAATCAACAGTTTTGGAGGGCAAAAATTATTGACCAAAACTGTGACATTTAATTTGTGCTTCTCTGATAGAGTGTGAATAAACTGCAACTTGTAAACATGTCAGCTGTGTGAATGCCAGTGCTGGATTAACAATATTGATTTCTTGTTTTTAACCAATCTTCATTTTGATGAACCAGTGCTGTTTTTAGTTAATGCATGAACAAACCTTCACTAAACACTATTTGTTGCACACTTGCCATCCAATAATCACAATAAGCTTTGTGCTTTATTATATGTTTTACACTGTGAAACAAAGTCTGAGCTTTCAAATTCTGTCAATTTGATAAAATTCAAACAACAAATTTCATTATGATACTCTAGTTTTTAAAACTGTGGGACTCAAAATAAGTTTAGCTGGTAATCTACATATTACCACAGATGCTGTTGATAAAGCCAAAGTTTTATTTGACCCAAAATATTTAAAAGTGGATAAATCCAGTTTTGCAAACAGTGAGTCGCAGAACACAGATGAATTTGATGTAAAGCCTGCATGCTTATGAAACCCCAAAATAGCATTTATAATTTTGATGCAACATTTTAAGGATCTGTAGGCTACAGTGGTCATTATTTCTTCCTTGTTTGTAATAATGTGGGCACAATATTTTGAGAGCAAAGTGGGTTTTGATGCCAAAAAAAGAAACAACTGTGAGATGATGTAATAATAAATACAAATAAGATAATTTATTAACTAACATATTAAATGAATTAAGTAATTTTTCATATAAGATATAATATGGCCACTTTAAAGTAGGGCTGGGCAATATAGCTCAAAAATGTATCAACGATATAATGTTTCATATCATTCGGTATCGATAATTATTGGCATTTTTTTATAACCTTTTTTAAAACAAAGAGCAATAGAACAAAATGTTTACATTTAATCACTGTATTTTTTAATTAACTCAATTTATTGAGACGAACAACAAATTTTTTTTTGTTTTAACAGTCAAAAACAAAATAAAAATTAAACACATCTCATTTCTAATGTTTTATATGCAGATTAAATAGGTTAAACTTTTGGCTTGTCTCCCGATGCCACAGAAGGGGCGCAATGAGCAAAATAATGCAGCACATTAAATTGTCAACGCAAGGAAGTAATTGTCTATAATTAATGCATTACGTCTAAATTAACTCATATAAATCAAATATAATTTCGTAAATTGCATAAACAATTATGAACAAAACAGCATCACGTATTTATGCATTGCATAATACAAAGAGCCGAATCGACCATCACACAGATTGCCTTTAAAAACATATGAGACGCAGTGAAAAAGGAATAAACAAATTTGCGACGTGTTTTCTAAAAGTTTAAACCGTTTTAATTTTGCATGGCTGTCTACATCTCTTGTGTGAGATGTGAGTGCAGAAGTCATATTTGTCCGTCTAGAAAATGCGCTGGATATGCATTCTGTGTGAATGACTTGGTTTCGGTTTTAACCTAATCAAGATCTTCTAGGCATTGAGCTACTATATTTCTCTAATATTTTGAATGAATAACGCAGCAACTGCGCGTCTCGTGGGCTAGACTAAAAACATTAAACTACAACGTCACTTACATCATCATCACAGCATCTCGTGCTCCACTGATGACGCTCCCTGACGCACATCTAACATTGGATTGTACTATTTTTGCATTCAAATGCAAATGCTTATTTTAATTTGTGTGCTGTCTGTGCCACTCACAGCACGTGCCCATATCGTGCACCTATATCAAACATTTTTCATATCGTTATCGAAGAATGTGTACCGTCGATAAATATCAATACCGTTTTATCGCCCAGGTCTACTTCAAAGCATACAGTTCTACATGAGTTGGTTTTCAAATGTACTATCCATTCTTGTTTTATTTTATTAATTAAGGATTGACGTCTGTCCATAGGCCCTTTACACTAAAACTGCTGGCTCCAATATCCAATAACCTTGCTTTTCTTACCCCTGTGATTTATGTCGTATCTCTCATTGTATTTCTCTCGCTCTCCTTCACCCTCTTTCAAATGACTCTTTACTATAATAAAGGGTTATTAGATGAAGTTTTAATGAACACTCGTTATAATTAGAAGGGGATGAGGAATGACTGGAGTGTCATCATGGCATATTAACTTTGCTGTACAGCTACATAAGCAAACCATACCTCAAATTAATCGCCACACTGTTAACGGAGGCAATGTTCAGGAAAAACGGCGAAGTTAGCACAGCACTTCAGTGTTAATGAAAGCATGAGAACAAATGATAGTAGAAAAGTTGGCAAGAGGATGCTCTTAAGGGGAAATGGATCGAAAACGTGCCAGATTTCTCATTCTTTCTAATTATATTTCTAACATTACAGTGGTAGATATTGACTTGGTACTGGTGACCCTTGCCTTTGGGCTTATCTGCGATGTTTCAAAATAATTTGTAATAATTAGCATGGATGTAGTGGGGAAGGAAGGTTAAAGTTCATGATGTACAATTTCCACTGACTGTTCAAATTCCTAGGAAATATTCATTTTCATTTTCATTGATTTTAAAGTGCATCACATACTAAAATTGCATTTGTAAGTCTATGTTCTGGGCTGAATGTACATAAATATACATGTCATGTTCTGCATTAGTCTCTTTAAATGTGAATTGATTTATCTATGTACTTAAAAAAATCTTTAGCCATGCAAAGTGTTTAATTGACCTATCGGTAAGCCCCTCCCCTCGAAAGCAGAAGAGCCAATGGCAGTTGAGTATCAGTTGCACAGGGAGCGGAACTCGGGCATCTGTAGGTTTCAGCGCCATAGAGAAACATTGGAGGATCCGAAGCTTGCATCGGTTTGATGGTGTTTATGCAACAAAAATGGAAAAAGGATGTGCTTGTGGTACTTGTAACACTGATTCCATGTATCCTGAGAGGATGGGCAATAGCATTTTCTAAACCCAAACAAAACAGAGCAAAATGTCCCTATAAGCATTCAACCCTAATCCCAATGAAGACAAAAAGATTCATTTTGTTGTTGTCATACACTCATTAAGTTACATTTTTTTTTTGTTCAAGCAGAACATTAATGTCATCTTGTGCTTCAGCAAAGTATCTCTGGCTAAAACTAGCTAACGTTGAAGTTAGTGAGTCCATACTATTACAAACCTAAATAGCGAACTGTTCTCACATCATGTACAGTGTAGGTCAAAAACACATAAACGAAGGTCTACATTTCAGTGCATCTTCCTATTAAACTGTTTAAATGTACATTAATGTAATCGTACCCTGCGATACATAAACAGTGTTGATCCGGGATGTTGTCATCTGCGATCGTGATGACCGTAATATGAGACTTCTCCCGCTTGCATTGTGATCTGTAAACGCTTCGAGTTACCCACCGTATTTATTTTAAAGGGGTCATATGATGCGATTTCAATTTTTCCTTACTCTTTGGAGTGTTACAAGCTCTTGGTGCATAAAGAAGATCTGTAAAGTTGCAAAGACTAAAGTCTCAAATCCAAAGAGAGATTCTTTATAAAAGTTAAGAGTCAGCCACACCTACCTAATACGGATCATTCTAACACGCCCCCACATATCTACCTCACGATGTGGGAAGATTTGCATAACGCCACCCAAATGTTCACGCAAAGAAAGAAGGCGTAACTTTTATTCTCGCTGTAGTATTGTTGCTGCCGCCATGCCGTGAAGACGTTGTGAAAGCGAAGCTACTTTGTTTGGCCTTCCAAACAATAATGTAAAGTATGTGGAAAATAATTACCGATAGGTCAATTGAGCCTATTATACCATGCATGACTTGGTTTTCCTTTCTTTGTTTTGTTGATGATTGATGATTTACCTTTGTGTAGTGGTTTGGGTTCAACCAGTGTCATATGCCAGTTATACAGATGTAATTTAGAATTTTATAGACACAAAGGTTCTACTCCTCTCTACTCTACTGGATCTACTCTACTCAAGTAACTGACCTCTTGCATTTTCTTGAGTAAACTGTATTGTGTTGTGTAGGGTCATCATTTGGTCCCTTATGTTTTTACTCACACCCCTGGTCTTTTATTTTATTTAATTTTTTATTCAAGGTCCATTTAGTCATTTTATTTTTATAATTTTTTCATAATTTATTTTTTTCAAAGCTATTTTCCACCCACTCTCTGACATTGAAAATAAAACTTGTCTTTTTTTTTTTTTTTTTTGCTGCTGTGCCTTTTGAGAAATGCCACCTTTGCACTCTGGTCTGTTCATGCTTTGGCAGCAGGTTTGCTTTTGGGTTCAGTACAGATTTTATTATATAACATCCTTTATTAACAACATATTTCTGCATTACATCAGTTGTGGCAGGTTCACAAAACAATAAAAAATGTGCTGCATTAAAGGTTAAGAACAAATTGAATAAAATAATCAAGGACCTTTTTTAAAAATAAGCTTCAGCCATTCCTTCTAATGCTGAGATTTGTAGAACAGCAGGTGCTTCCCACAACCAGCCGTGGTTCAAGGTTTAGTGAACTTTCACACACTTTGCTCTAATGTATCTTTAGTTCCTTCTGTGCTTATTGAATGATAGTATCTGCTTGTTTAGAAGGAACAGTGTGGACTGTGGATCACCGTCAACAAAGTATCTTTTTAGACTGGCGAGGAAGTTTTGTGTTTCAGATACAGTATGTTTTCATAGTACGTAAATGTCTTTGACTCAGAAGTAAAATGTGATTCTTTGTTATATGTCCCCTTTGGTGTTAATAGAAGCTGACTGTGCTGAACGCCCAGTCAAATTCTTCTCTGTCCTTGGTTGAAAGATGTCTGTTTTCGCTCTCTGTCTCCAGGGCACATTTCACAGTCAGCAGTCTCTGGACTATGGCTCGCAGTTAGTAGGAGGAGTGTCTCCAGGCAAGGGGGGCAAAACACACCTGGGTCTGCCAGTCTTCAACTCTGTGAAAGAGGTCATTGGTCGATTTAATAATGATGGCACATACACACACCTCAAACTTGATTGTGTGTTTCCCTGCTTTTCCTCCATGTTAACACACGCACACATATGGTGTAACTGCCCCAATCCCAACCTGAATATTAACTCTTTATCCCCCTTGTGTCTCTCATTATTATTTGTGTTTATGCCTAGATGTTATAGCCAAAAGTCAGCTTTTTCCATTACATTCAGCTCTCTATTTTTGGCTTTTGACCTGAAAATTTCAGAACCATCCTATTGACCAAACTGCTAATATTAGCCAAATATATTGGTTTTCAAAATATCTATTTTAAGAATTAAAATAGTAAAAAATCTAATTTAAAATAATTATTTATTTTACACTAGTAAGCATAAAAACAATTACACTGACATTCAAAAGTTTGAAGTCAGAGATTTTGAAAGATATCAATGCATTTATGCAGCAAGGATGCATTAAATCGATCAAAAGTGACAGTAATATATGCTACAAAAGATTATTATTATTTTTTTTAAATGCTGCTTTGACTTGAAAAAAAGGTCATAAAGATCATGGTTTCCCCAAAAACATTAAGCAGCACAACGTTTCTACCTTTTTAATTATATGAAATATTTCTTGATGATGCAGAAAATGAGCATTTTAGAATGATTTCTGAAGAATCATGTGACCTTGAAGACTGAAGTAATGGCTGCTGAAAATTCAGCTTTGCCATCACAGGAATAAATTACATTAAAAAAAAAATATATATATATATATATATAAAAAAACAGTTATGTAATAATATTTCACAATGTTACTGTTTTTACTATATATTGAAAAGTTTCAGCTTTAATACGGTAGTGTATTTTTAAAATATCAATCCAGAATAATTCACAGCAATATATAGAATGTAAATGTCACACTGGTACACTTATGTAAAGATTTTTAAGTGATACAGTTTTGAATCTTCATTTACACAGAGAGTTTGAGCTATCTAAAGTATCGTAATGCTTCACAGTTTCAGAAACATTAATGACCATATATTTATTTACATATAAATCAGTATTCACAATGATGCTTAAAGGGGTCATATGATGCTGCTAAAAAGAACATTATTTGGTGTACTGAAATGTTTATGCAGTTTAAAGTAAAAAATCACATTATTTGCCACATACTGTACATTATTGTTTCTCCTCTATGCCCCGCTTTTTTGAAACGCATCGATTTTTACAAAGCTCATCGGTCTGAAAAAGCAAGGTGTGCTGTGAGTCGTTTCCTCTATTGGAAGACCAAATAAAGTAGTTTCGCTTTCACAACGAACAACACAGCAGCCTAGCGTGAGTGGAAGCCCCGGCTTAGTGTGTGCTGAGGCCGGGATAGAGTGAGCTGAGGCCGGGCTAGCGTGAGCTGAGGCGGCGTTGGAGGATCCGACGAATGAGCGGCGACCACATGTGACGACCCCGGGCTGGACTCCGCTTCGTCCACGGTGAAAGTTGATGTATTCCCTCAGTGACCAGCACAGATCAGCTCCAGGCATGAAGAAGCGGATATCGTCCTCTTTTGGAAGACCAAACAAAGTAGTTTCGCTTTCACAACGAAGCACACAGCGTCTTCACGACATGGCTGCAGCGTCAACAATACTACAGCGAGAATAAAAGTTACGCCTTCTTTCTTTGCGTGAACATTTGTGCGGCGTTATGCAAATCTTCCCACATAGTGAGGTAGCTATGTGGGAGCGTGTTAGAAAGAGCCGTTTTAGGTAGGCGTGACTGACTCTTAACTTTTATATAGAATATCTCTTTGGATTTGAGACTTTAGTCTTTGCAACTTTACAGATCTTCTTTTTACACCAAGAGCTTGTAACACTCCAAAGAGAAAGGAAAATTTTAAATCAGATCATATGACCCCTTTAATTGATATCACAAAATCTTTGCAAATATATTATGAATATTCAGATAAACACCAAGCCCTACTAGTTTACTTTTATTGCACACGGGAAGATACTAAAAAAGCTCTGGTTCTTTTCCCCCTCTCTTTTTGCTAATAGTGTAATCACAGCTAATACTTAATTTCTTTTGTTACTCAAGGCCATTTCCTGCAATCCATATTATTTCAGTCTGCAGCAGACAAGCCACTGCTTGACCATTAGATGGCAGTAGAGCTTCAAGTATTTTTCCAGATAAACCCGTGCACCTTCGTTTTTGAAACATGACATTTGCATAAGGGAATTCTCTCAGAAATGCACCATTCCGTCACCCTTAGTTGAGGAAAATGCAAAAGCACAATGCATCACCCTGTAGCTGTACGCCTTTATAAATGAACTATGTAAATCGCTATTCCTGTCTGGAACAATCTACATTTGTCTTTGTATCATATAGTGCACTTCTCACAGCTTTATGCGTTTACCCACAGCTTCTGTAAATGTTTTCTTGTGCAATTTAACCTTTATATGGCCTTAAATCCTGAAATTCACCGAGCCATTTCCTATTTATTGCAGAGGGCTTTCCAGCTGTTGGAACTTCCACTTTTGATAAATCAAATATACTTAAATATCGAATATATAGATTCCTATTAGACTATTAGAGACACCAAGCTGAAACCATTTTTTTAGCAGTCTAGACACTGAAAAAAATGGCATACACACACACACACACACACCAAAAAAAAAAAAAAACTCCAGAAACTAACACTGTTAGACTTTTTATCGTATTTTTGCGGTAAATTACTGGCAGCACTATTGCCAGTAAGTTACTGTAACTACCCCTTTACAGTAGCTTATGGCAAGTTCATTTTACAGTATGATGGACTTACCGCAATTTAAATTTATAGTGAAATACCCTTACTGCAATTTAAATTTACAGTACTATATCCTTACTGTAACTTAGCTTTACAGTATAATATTACAGTAATTTTACTGTAATTTATTTTTCACTATTTATTTTATAAAACCTTTGAATATTTTACATGAATGCCATTGAATTGAATAAATTCCAAATAAGTGACCCGAGTCCATGTACAACAGTGTGTATATATATATATTTTTCTTTTTTTATTCACGGTCACTATTAAATACATCCATTGCTTATTTATTGTGCTTTATTCTGGAACATTACAAAAAAAAATAGAGAACTGAATTCATAACAACAAATCAAAGCAGAGATCATGACAATATTGCAACAAAAAGAAATATAGCAGCAAGCATCCCAGTTGGTCTTGGCTGCATGGCCTCCATAACCACCGACAGCTGATCTGAAAAAAAAGAGGGGAAATGTGTGAGAAATGGTCATGAGTTTATCTCCTCTAAATGTGTTCATGGACAGACAAGGTAACAACTTGTGCAACAGCAGTTATTCCCAGTATAGTACTGTGCTAAAGTATTGCTTTTTTGCACATCCTTGTCAGGGAACTCCATTAATTGCCTGAATGTACAATCACATTAAAGAGTAACTTTATGGTCCTTCAAACTTAAACTTTTTTTTTTGGCAGTGTTTTAAAGTATATTTTTAGTTGTGACAGCTCTTGATCCAAGGAATATCAGTGTGTATCAGCTACTGTAACATCTGTATTGTTTGTAAATATTAGAGCAAAACAGGCTTTTGAGTC